AGTGGTGCTGTGGCTCAAGTGGTAGAGTGATAGCCTTGAGCTGAAGAGCTGAGGGACAGTGCCCAGAGTCCAGGCCCATGACCGGACCCCCCCCCAAAAAAAAAAAAGACAAAAAACAAAACTGGTTCCTCTGTCACTCCATATTTCACTAGTTGCAGTGATATCATGACAGAAAGTCCTACAGTGGGTCTGAGGTGGCTGAAAGGATGTTTATTCCTGTGATCATCTAGCTATGGTCTGACTGGGTCACTCAGGTCCTCTGACATTTGGAGTTCACTTTGCCACTGAGTCACTTCTACCAGGCCCATGCATACAGATGACGCCTGACGCTGCCTGTGTGTGCTGTGGAGACTCCAGGTACCGGTGCATAGAGTTACATCACCTGTGTGCATAAGGGAGGTTCAGGTTTGTGTCTATGCATGCCAGAATTGGGGGGCTGGCACTACCTATGTGAAGGGCAGGTGTGCAAGGGTACCCTGTATCCACACAACTCCCCGTTTCCTTCCAGTCCTTAGCAATCACTAATGTTCCCTTCCCTCCTTCCTTCCTTCCTCCTCCCATCCCTGGCCTCCCCAAGCTTGGAGCCCAGAGCCTGCTCTGTGTGTGTGTGTGCATGTGTGTGCGTGTGTGTGTGTGTGTGTGTGTGTGTGTGTGTGTGTTTAGGAAAGGAAACCCTGCTATGGAAGCTGTCATCTGACCATGCAGGTTATCAGTAACCTGGGACTTCCACCCAGGACTGAGACCACAGCTCTGTTAACCTGTGCCCTGTAGCTGCTCAGCCCAGCAGCCTAGAGACTAGCTAGAGAGACCCAGGATGATAGCTCAAGGCTCTGGGCGAGGTGGGTGGTACAAGAGGCCAATAAAAAGCTGTAAATTTTCAGAAGCCAAATCCCAAACACCCTGCTCCTGCCACCTGTGTTCTACCTTCCTGTCCTCCCCATCCTGGCTTAGGCTACTATCCCCCCTATTTCTTCTTCCCTTCTTTGTGTCCTGCCTTCTGCTGATTTTCATGGAGTATTGAGGGTGAGAAGGTGTTGGTACAGGCACTCATGCCTGTAATGTCTATTGCTGCCTAGTCTAACAGAGCATGGGAGTCTCTATAAACCACAGAGCTAGAGCAACCACTCCAGAACATTTCCATCCTTCCAGATAATTCTAGAGCTCCATCTTGATAGCACCAAACTACTCCAAAGCTAAGGCAAGAGGAGCTCAAAACTACCTTGGGTAATGTAGCAAAAGCCAATCTCAAAAATATAAAAAGGGAAGCCGGGTGCCAGTGGCTCACACCTGTAATCCTAGCTAATCAGGAGGCTGAGATCTGAGGCTCAGGGTTCAAAGCCAGCCCCGCAGGAAAGTCCATGAGACTCTTATCTCCAATAAACCACCAGAAAACTAGAAGTGGCACTGTAGCTCAAGTGGTAGAGCGCCTGCCTTGTGCTGAAGAGCTGAGGGACAACAGCCAGGCCCAGAGTTTAAGCCCCACAACAAACAAAAAAATAAAAATAAAAGCAGGGGCGCCAGTGGCTCACGCCTGTAATCTTAGCTACTCAGGAGGCTGAGATCTGAGGAGCCAGCCCCTGTAGTAAAGACTGTGAGACTCCTATCTCGAATAAACCACTAGAAAACCAGAAGTGGCACTGTGGCTCAAGTGGTAGAGCGCTCGCCTTGAGCTGAAGATCTGAAGGAAAGAGCCCAGGCCCAGAGTTCAAGCCCCATGACCAACAAAAAATAAAAAAATAAAATAAAAAGGGGCTGAGAATGTGGCTCAGTGGTAGAGTGCTTGCATAGCATGCATGAAGCCCTGGGTTCGATTCCTCAGTACCACGTACAAAGAAAATGCCATAAGTGGCATTGTGGCTCAAGTGGTAGAGTGCTAGCCTTGAGCAAAAGAAGCTCAAGGACAGTGCCCACGCCCTGAGTTCAAGCCCCAGGACTGGAAAAAAATAATAAGTAAATAAAAAAGTAAGACAGAAGAGAGGAAGCATACGATTTTTTTTTCTTTCTTTCTTTTTTTTTTTTTTTGGCCAGTCCTGGAGCTTGAACTCAGGACTTGGGTGTTATCACTGAGCTTCTTTTGCTCAAGGCTAGCATTCTACCACTTGAGCCACATTGCCAATTATGGCTTTCTCTGAGTAGTTTATTGGAGACGAGAGTCTCAGAGACTTTTTTGTTCTTTTGTCCTTTTGTTTAGCACATTTTTGTGGGGGTTTTTTGTTTTTGTTTTTGCCAGTCCTGGGGCTTGAACCCAGGGCCTGAGCACTGTCCTTGAGCTTCTTTTCCTCAAGACTAGCGCTCTATCTCTTGAGCCACAGTGCCACTTCCAGCTTTTTCTGCTTATGTGGTACTGAGGAGTCAAACCCAGGGCTTCATGCATGCTAGGCAAGCACTCTACCACTAAGCCACCTTCCCAGGCCCTTTAGCGCATTTGTTGGTGGTGGTGGTGGTCGTGAGGCTTGAAGTCTGGGCCTGGGCGCTGTCCCTCAGCTCTTCAGCTCAAGGCCAGCGCTCTACCACTTGAGCCACAGTGCCACTTCTGGTTTTCTGGTGGTTCATTGGAGATCAGAGTCTCACAGACTTTCCTGCCCTGGTTGGCTTTGAACCATGATCCTCAGATCTCAGCCTCCTGAGTAGCTTAGATTACAGGCATGAGCCACCGGTGCCCAGCTTTAACACATATTTTTATTTTTGTTTGTTTTTTTGGGTCTGGTCATGGGGCCTGAACTCTGGGCCTGGGCGCTGTCCCTCCGCTCTTCAGCTCAAGGCTAGTGCTCTACCACTTGAGCCACAGTGCCACTTCCAGCTTTTTTCTTTTTGCTTATGTGGTGCTAAGGAATTGAACCCAGGGCCTCAGGCATGCAAGGCAAGCACTCTACCACTGAGCCACCTTCCCAGCCCCTAGCACATATTTTTAAAGATGAAAGGCAAAACTATGTTGATGGATTCTGAAATTGAGTTTTGTACATTGTTGTTTTGATTTTTTTTTTTTTTGCCAGTCGTGGACACGAACTCTGGGCCTGGGCACTGTCCCTCAGCTCAGCTCTTCAGCTCAAGGCAAGTCCTCTACCGCTTGAGCCACAGCGCCACTTCCAGCTTTTTCTGTTGATGTGGTGCTGAGGAATCGAACCCAGGGCCTCATGCATGCAAGGCAAGCACTCTACCACTGAGCCACCTTTCCTAGCCCCTGTTTTGAATTTTTTCTCTTCTCTTAAAAATGAGAAATTAAGCCTAGCACTAGTGACTCGTGCCTATAATACTAGCTACTCAGCCCAGAGGATCAAAGTTCAAAGCCAGTCCAGGCAGAAAAGTCAATTTAATCAGCAAAATGCTGGACTGGAAGTATGGCTCAAGTAGTGTAGTAACATTTCTAGGCCGAGGCTGCAATGGTTGCTGTCCATGGGGCTGAAATATCCTAGCTCTGATCTATCACATGTGGTTAGCATTAGTTTGCTAAAACTAGTTAACTTGAAATAGTTACTGGGAGATGAGGGCACACCTCAGCGTGTGACATCAAGCTGAGCATGTGGAAACTCCTGGTGCCAGTAAATTAATTGAATTACAAATGCAGCTGGGACTCCTGCAGGTCCATACCACCTAGCTGTCTTTCTCTTTCTCCTTCTCTTCATCATGTTCCCCCCCACCATCCCTTTCTTTTCTTTTTTTGGTTAATACTGGGCCTTGTTTCCAACTTTGTTTCCAGTCTAAGAGCTATGTGGGAGCTGATGGTGCCATTGTTGTACACTACTACTTCAGAACATCTCCAGTCTTTCAGAACATTCTAGAGGAAGTGGTGCTGTGGCTCAAGTGGTAGAGTGCTTGCCTTGAACTGAATTGCTCAGGGACAGCCCAGGCCCAGAGTGCAAGCCCCATGAGAAACAACAACAACAACGAAAAGGAGAACATTATAGAGCTCCATCTCGATGGTAGTTGCAGAGGAATGTGCATTTGTTGAACTCACTGAGCTAAAGAGTCAGACTTCTCTAAAATATACCTTTTTGAAGGCACAAAAGTCCAACTCTACTAATTACTGACAACACAGTCTTTGACTTAATTTCCTCCTTTTTTCTTTGTCAATCATGGGGCTCGAACCCAAGGCCTGGGCTCTGTCCCTGAGCTTTTTCTCTCAAGGCTAACACTACCAATTTGAGCCAATTTTGGTTTTCTGTTGGTTAATTGGAGGAGTCTCACAGACTTTCCTGCACAGGCTGGCTTCAGATGTCAGCCTTCTAGTAGCTAGGATGATAGGTGTGAGCCACCAGCACTAGACTGACTTAATTTCTTTGTGTCTCTATTTCCCAACCTGCAAAGTAGGGTGATGATGGTACCCCGTTTTGAGTAGCTGCAGATGTCACAGGAAGTGATTACTGAGTATGCTCATGCTGAGGTGTTCAGGAAAGGCAAATTGATGCTTGACCTAAGAGCCAGCCCAACAGCTGTCCTCAGGGTTCTACGTGTCCCAGCCTTGTTTTCAAACATTCCCCTCCCCACTCAGGATGGCAAAGATTATCCCAATTTTTTTTTCTTTTTTGCCAGTCCTGGATCTTGAACTCGGGGCCTGGGCACTGTCCCTGAGTTTCTTTTGCTCAAGGCTAACACTCTACCACTTGAGCCACAGCGCCACTTCCGGCTTTTCTGCTTATGTGGTGCTGAGGAATCGAACCCAGGGCCTCATGCAAGCTAGATGAACACTGTACCACTGAGCCACCTTCCTAGCGCCCACATATGTTTATATATAGCGTTTAAGATTCTAAAAAGTAGGAAGAAAATTCAAAGAGGACAATAGCAAAGTCAAAAGAAGCCATGAAAACCTCTGAGAAGACGGGAGCAGGCAAGCAGGACAGAGCAAGACGGCGAGCAGCGCCAGACGCGCTGAGATGAAGCCCACCGCGACTACGCATTGGAGGCCTGATCGCTGCGCCCTCTGGGACTTGTAGTCCTGGGTGTGACCAATCGGGGGCTGGACATGCGCGGGGCATGCCGGGAACGAGGTCCCGGGGCGCAGGCGAGCACGTCAGCGCGGAAGCGCCACTGGAAGTGTCAGCCGCTCTGCTGGAGCTCTCTGGAGCCAAAACCCAGGCTGGAGCGAGCCGTGGTACGAGCCTGTGCGGCGGACGGAGCTTGGGGGCGGCTTGCGCTGGGGTGAGGAGCCGGGCCTGGCCCCACCGTGCGAGCCTGTGCGGTGGACGGAGCGTGCGTGGCGGTCGGCGCCGGGGTGAGAAGCCGGGCCTGGCCCCACCGTGCGAGCCTGGGCGACGAAGGGAGCTTGCGGGAGGCCGGCGCGGGGGTGAGGAGCCGGGCCCGACCCGGCCCGGCCGTGCGAGCCTGGGCGGCGGCCGGTAACCCCATAGCCACCTCCCGAGGTCGGCGCCGTTCCCTCCTCACGCAATTAGGTTTGGTTTCCTTTTTAAAACTCATCGTAAATAGCCGGGCGCCGGTGGCTCACGCCTGGCCTCCCAACTACTCAAGAGGCTGAGATCCGAGGATCACGGTTGAAAGCCAGACCGAAACCGCCAAAACCCCAAATAGAGATGTGGCTCAAAGTGGTAGAGCGCCGGCCTTGAGCACAAAAGCTCAGGAACAGAGCCCTGGCCCTGAGTTCAAGTACCAGGACACACACACACACACACTCCCTCTCTCATTATAAGTAACATTTTGACAATTTTTAAAATTATTATTCTGGAGCTCTCTCCCGGCTTTGGACCCAGGAGCAGTATTGCCCCCATCTCAGGGACGCCTAGACATATATGGAGCATTTGAAAGTTAAGATGGCTAGAGAGGCTGCTTACAGCTTTTCGTAGGATCAGGAGTTCGTTTTAAAACCCTGCACCATGAGGGAAATGCCCTCAAAGGAGTGAAATGTCTGTGAGACCCTCCAATAAACCAGGAAGTGAAGCTGTGGCTCAAGTGGAAGAGCACTGGCCTTGAGCCCAAAAATCTCAGGGATAATGCCTAGGCCCTGAGTTCAAGTCCCAGTACCAGCTCCTAAAAAATGAAAGTGAGGGTATTGTCATTAGCTGCCTGGGTTGAGAGACAGGAAGCGTAGCTTGGGTTACAGGTGTGAGCCACCACTTACTGGCTGAGTCTGTTTTTTTTTTTTTTGTCAGTTGTGAGGCTTGAATTCTGGGCCTGGGCTCTGTCCCTCAGCTCTTCAGCTCAAGGCTAGTGCTCTACCACTTAGCCACAGTACCACTTCCAGTTTTCTGATGATTTATTGGAGAAAAGAGTCTCACAGACATTCCTGCTGGGGCTGGCTTTGAACTGCACTCCTCAGACCTCAGCCTCCTGATTAGCTAGAATAACAGGCACAAGCCACTGGTGCCTGGCCTATCCAAGTCTTTGAACAGTCTTCTGTGACTGTTTGCAAATCCCTGCAATGGGAAGGAAGTTGCCACCTGCTGAGTGTTGTAAGTTTTAAGAATCAGGCTTAGGGGCTGGGAAGGTGGCTTGGTGGTAGAGTGTTTGCCTTGCATGCATGAGGCCCTGGGTTTGATTGCTCAGCAAGCCAGAAGTGGGGCTGATACTCAAGTGGTAGAGTGCTAGCCTTGAGCTGAAGAGCTGAGGGACAGTGCCCAGGCCCAGAGTTCAGGCCCCACGACTGACCCCCCCCCCCACCCAAAAAAAAAAAAAAGAATCAGGCTTAGCACCAAATGGACTATTCTGATTTTTTTTTTTTTTTTTTGGTCCAGTCGTGGGGCTTGAACTCTGGGCCTGAGCGCTCTCCCTCAGCTCTTCAGCTCAAGGCTAGCGCTCTACCACTTGAGCCACAGCGCCACTTCCGGCTTTTTTCTTTTTGCTTATGTGGTGCTGAGGAATCGAACCCAGGGCCTCGAGCATGCAAGGCAAGCGCTCTACCACTGAGCCACCTTCCCAGCCCGACTATTCTGATTATTATCATCTGTCTCACAGAGTCTAATCCTACACCTGCTCGACTTTTCCCTCTTCCAGGTGGCAATGAAGCTCTGCCATTCCAGCTGACCCAGTTCTAAGGCTCCAGCCATCCCATGGTACTGTTGCCTAATGGCCACCCCAAACTGTCCCCTGAGCCCAGTGCCCTGGGAATACAACAACTTCCTTCAGGTGAAGGTAGAGGAGGAAGAGGAAGAGGCTGATCTCTCCCAGGGCAAGGAATCCAGCCCCAGTCCTACTGCCTACCCTGAGGCTGCACGTTTGCGCTTCCGGCACTTCCACTATGAGGATGCATCTGGCCCCCATGCAGCGCTGATCCAGCTGAGAGAGCTGTGCCATCAGTGGCTGCAGCCTGAGTTATGCACCAAGGAGCAGATGCTGGAGCTGCTGGTGCTAGAGCAGTTCCTAGGCTCACTGCCTGCTAAGATCCAGGCATGGGTGGTGGCCCAGTGCCCTAAGAGTGGAGAGGAAGCTGCTATGCTGGTGGAGAATCTAACTAAGATGCTGCACAAGAGAGGTAAGGGAGAGTTACAACATCCTGGGGGCAGAACTCGACTGGGTAACATGGGCACACATGATTTGGCCTGGGGTCACGACACTCACTTTTGTACTTTAGCCATGGTTGCAACTGACCAAAATATCAAGAACAGTAAAGGGTTTAGATATGACTGTTTCAAGAAGATAGATCACTTGATAACATTTCTCCCTTTCTCCCTCTCCCCTTCCTCCCCTCTCTCAGACACATAAACACACTTACATAGATTTCTCTGTAGGTTTATTTTGTTGTCAGAAGTAGTGACACTGAGGTTTGTTTCAGGATGGGAGCTGGGAGCTGAATCTGCAGAGGCAAACTGCAAACAGAGCAACTCAGAAGAGTTGGGATCACCAGATAACACCACTGAAACACTCATGAGAGGTGTTTCTCCTAGACCTGCCTTCGTCAATGCTTGTGAACCTGAGGACAGCTTGCAGAGTGGGTCAGAGCTCTTAAGGGCCATTTGGACAAAGTCTGTGCCCCAAGAGCTGGCTTTTAGGAAAACCAAACCTAGTAAGGACACTCCTCCAGATCAGCCTGGCTCTGAGTGTGGAGCCCCAAGACTCAGTACCAACATGTGGCCAGCTCTCCCCTCCCAAGAGAAAACTCCCTCTGCGGAGAAACTAGGTCTGTCGGATGGGTATAGGAAAGTGCCTTCATATACATACTCGGAGAAGAAGCTCTCAAGGTGTGGGGAGTGCAGGAAAACATTCCAGAACACCCTGGCCCTCACAGCCCATCAGAAGAGCCACTCCCGGAAGACACCCTATGCCTGCAGTGAGTGTGGGAAGGCCTTCAGCCGCAGCACCCACCTTGTCCAGCACCAGGTAGTACACACAGGAGCAAAGCCTCATGTGTGCGAGGAGTGTGGAAAGGCCTTCAGCCGGGCCACCCACCTGGCACAGCATCAAAGGACTCACACTGGGGAGAAGCCCTACCAGTGTGGGGCCTGTGGAAAGAGCTTCAGCCGCAGCACCCACCTCACGCAGCACCAGCGCGTGCACACGGGGGAGCGGCCATACGAGTGCGAGGAATGTGGCAAGACCTTCAGCCAGAGCACCCACCTCACACAGCACCAGCGCGTCCACACCGGGGAGAAGCCCTACAGGTGCGATGCATGCGGGAGGGCCTTTAGTGATGGCTCAGCTCTTATCAGACACCTGCGAATCCACTCTGGAGAGAAGCCCTATCAGTGCAAGGTCTGTGCGAAGGCCTTCGCGCAGAGCTCGTCCCTCATCGAGCATCGGCGGGTCCACACGGGAGAGAAGCCCTATAAGTGCAGTGACTGTGGGAAGGCCTTCAGCCGCAGCTCTGCACTCACTGTGCACCTGAGGGTCCACATCACGGTGCTGTAGTGACCGAGTCTAAGAAACCCTGACTTCTGAAAGAGCCAGGGACAGGGCAAGAACTGAGAAGCCCCAGCAGCCTTTGGAAACACACCAACGTCACCCTGAGATGTGTGTCTGTCTGTGTTTGTCTAAAAGGGAAGAGGTCAGAGGAAAAAATATATATATATTTTTATCGGTTTTGGGTTTGAACTCTGGCCCTGGGCACTCCCTGAGCTCTTCAACTCAAGGAGAGCACTCTACCACTTGATCCACAGCACCAATTCTAGTTTTCTGGTAGTTTATTGGAGATAAGAGTCTTATAGACTTTCCTGCCCCAGCTAGCTTTGAACTGTGATCCTCAGATCTCATCCTCCTGAGTATCTAGGATTACAGGCATGAGCCCCTGACACCAGGAAAATGAGTTGTAAGGACTTGTGTGAGTACTGGATAGTCTTCCAAGTACTTTACATACATCATCTTATAATTCTCAAAAGAGACCAACATAGTGATCCATGTGTCATGGAGGAGAGGAGAAGAGAGATGTAGCTAGTGGCCAGGGTCACATGGCAGGAACTGGAAGCACCTACACATGTCAGCATTTCAGTAAATACAGCCATGCTTCACAAACCAAGAAAAGAGACAGCCAGCATCAATAACTGGTACCTGTAATCCTAGCTACTGAGGAGCTTAAGATCACAGTTGGATGCCAACCCAGGCAGACAAATCTGAGAGATTCTTACCTCCAGTTAACCAACAAAAAACTAGAAGGGCTGTGGCTCAAGTGGTAGAGCACCATCCTTCAGCGGAAAAGCTAAAGGACAGCATCTAGGCCCAGAGTTAAAACCGCAGTACCAAAAAAAAATTGAGATAAAGGACTGGGGGCATGGCTCAAGTGGTTGAGTATCTATCTAGCAAGCATAAGACCCTAAGTTCAAAATCACAGTATTACCCAAGTAAAAATTGAGAGAGAATTATGCATGAAAGAACAAACGCCATAACAGCTTCACAGACTTTTTTTTTTTTTTAAGAAGCCAGGCATAGGTGGCTCATACTTGTAATTCTAGCTACTCAGGAGGTTGAGATCTGATGACTAAGGTTTGAAGCCAGCCTCAACAGGAAAGTCCATAGGACCTATCTCCAATTAATCATCAAAAAAGCTAGAACAGCTCCAGTTGGCTGGATAGCTCAGGGACAGTGCCCAGGCCCTGAGTTCAAGCCCCAGGATTGGCACACAAAAAAGGGGGGAGGGGAGCTGGGAAGGTGGCTCTGTGGTAGAGTGCTTGTCTTGCATGCATGAGGCCTTGGGTTTGATTCCTCAGCACCACATAAGCAGTAAAAGCTGGAAGTGGCGTTGTGGCTCAAGTGGTAGAGCGCTAGCCTTGAGCCTAAGAGCTCAGGGACAGTGTCCAGGCAGAGTTCAGGCCCCACAACCGACCAAAAAAAAAGGAACATTAGTAACTATTACTCAGGCAGTCAGACCCCTTTAGATGAAATAGACAAAATTTCTTGCAAGTCAGTTTATCGAATATTAAGCCATCCCCACTGGGCACTGGTGGCTCACGCCTGTCATCCTAGCTACTCAGGAGGCTTGAGATATGAGGATCACTGTTCAAAGCCAGCCTGGGCAGGAAAGTCTTTTATCTCCAATAAACCACTTAGAAAACTGGAAGTGGTGCTGTGGTTCAAGCGGTAGAGCACTAGCCTTGAGCTGAAGAGCACAGGACAGTGCCCAGGCCCAGAGCTCAAGACCACGACCGACAAAATTTTTTTTATAGAGAGCCATAACCCTAACCCCTGCGATGTAGCATGCGCTCATCCCGCAGAGATGAGACCACCAGGGACCACGACACGCGGGGCTTCACCTCGTCGTAGCCGCCCCTTCCCAGACCTGGGCTGGAGACAGCCTGGGAGACCATGGTGTCAACTCCGGGGAGGAGCGCTTCAGCTCCTTCCCCGGGGTCGCGTCGCTGCCAGGTCAGCTTCCTAGACAAAGGTCACCTCAGTGGGGTGGAGTGCAAGGCCCGGCGTCCTCCCGCACACCACCAGAGCCTGGCCAGCTGCCCGCTGAACACACACACCGATTTAGGGCGGGGAACAGGCTCCGCCCGCGGGCATTCTCGGTACACGCACAGCTCCACGGGCACACTGGGCGCCGATCCTGCGAAGTGCAGCTCCGCATGCGGGTGGACGCAGCGGTAGTTGCCGAAACCCACGGCATCTCAACATCTGCCGGTCGCAGCAGGCAGAGCAAGCGGCGCCCGCCCGGACCCCTGCGCTGACTGTAGCGCGAGGCGCGGTCCTGGGCTCCACCATGAGCACCGGGGCCCGGCAGCTTCTGCGGAGAAGAAGCGGGCTCGGCCTGGAGGCAGGGCAGGCCTCGCGCGGGTCCAGCCCGTGCCAACCTCCCAAACAGCCCTGGCCGGAAAAGTCTGGGTCTCCGGTCCCCAGGACTCACTGTCCCCCCGCAGCCGGGGATACGCGGTCCGAGGACCCTGGAGCCCCGCGGGGCCGGCCCGCCATCCCGCCGCCGCCAGGGCGCAGGCTCACTGCGGCCCCGCACCGGCTCCTCGGGCGGGCTCGCCGACCAACGGCCAGGTGGTGTTCGGGCCGCGCAGCTGGTGGCGGCAGGCAAAAGGGCCCAGAGAGACCAGGAGACGTTAGCATGGCCCCTGTCACCCAAGGGCTGCCCAGCTCAGCCACGCGCTTGGGGACGGGCTTGAGCCACAGAAGATGAGTCTGAGCCACAGAGGTATTGACCTTGGCTGTCACTTGCCACCAATCCTAGGGAGGAACCGGTTCTCCAAGCAGGCCTGGGCGCACCAGGTCCTGGAGCACTCTGTCCTCTGTCCTGCACATCCTCCCCATCCACCACATCCTCCCCGTCTACACCGTCCTTCAGCAGCTGTAGGTCCGTGATGGCCAGCCGGGCCTGGCACCTGTGACCCAGGGTTCCACGGTTATCTGGAGTCTGCCCACAGACTGGGTGGGCAGGGGGCCTGGGTCAGCTAGGTGCTGGGGACAGGGCCTCAGCCCGGGGCTCACCACCTTGAGGCCCAAGCCCCCAGCTCACCTACAGCTATCTCACAGCTGGGCCCTGGGTGAGGCTTGCAGACAGCGCCCAGGAAGCCCTCCACACGCCTCCCGCCCACAGGGTCCACAGCCCGTGACCCCGAATCCCAGAGCAGTGGGAAAGCCTCCAGCCAGACAAAGGGGCCTTGCTCCGGCTGCGGGCGGTGTCTGGCTGTCTGCAGTAGCAGGCTGGCTGGAACACCGGCCTCTCCTCTCGTCAGGGTGGACACCGTGTGGCCCGATGACAAAGGAGACTATCCAAGGCTGCTACAAGAGCTTTACCTGTAACCCTGATAACACCATCCAGCGAGCTAAGCTAACAGTGAATTAAGTTCTTTGTTTTCGGGCTGGGAAGGTGGCTCAGTGGTAGAGTGCTCCTTGAAGCCCTGGGTTCAATTCCTCAGCACCACATACACAGAAAAAGCTGAAGTGGTGCTGTGGTTCTGTGGTAAAGTGTTAGCCATGAAAAGGAAGCTCAGGACAGCGCTAAGGACCTGAGTTCAAGCCCGAGGATTGACAAAATATTAGATAGATAGATAGATAGATAGATAGATAGATAGATAGATAGATAGATAGATAGATAGATAGATAGATAGATAGATAGAGATAGATATAGTCGAACGCTGTCCCTGCTGTGCTCTTCAGCTGAAGGCAAGTGCCAGCACCACTTCCGATTTCTAGTGGTTCATTGGACATAAGAGACTCCTGCCCGGGCTGGCTTTGAACCGCGATTCTCAGATTTCAGCCCTCTGAGTACTAGTATGACAGGACACTTCTCCCAGCGCGAGGCCCTGGGCCCGACCGAATAACGGGCCGGCGTCCCGCGGGGGCTGTTGGGACATATAGTCCCGGCTCCCCCACCGAATGCTGGAGCGCGGCCTGCGTCCGCGCGGGGGCTGTTGGGAAATGTAGTCCAGCCCCGGGTGCGGTACCTGGGGAGCGGAGAGGGAATCTCCGGCGAATCCCCTACCCTGCGGCCCCTTTAACCACGCTGTGAGCCAGTCGGAGACCTTGCAGTCCACCCGACAGTACAAGGTCCGGGCTGGGGGGGACCTGCCCTCGACTCGAAGCCAGTTTTCCTTCGGCTTTGCTCAGTTCCCGTGGGAGAAGTCCGCTGGCCCTCGGTGGAGCCGGCAGCCTTGGGAGAAGCAAGCCACCTTCCTTCGGGAGGTGTGCACAGTAAATACGCCTGCCTTGCGTTGTCCTTTTGTCTCTCTGTGTTGCTGCAAGTCCGGAGTGTACGTCATTACAGTTGTTCCAGCCTTTCAGCGATGAGAGGCTTGGACTCCCTTATTCTGTCTGATTCTAAATTGTTTTGTTCACCGAGCAGAAACATTTAGGGCACTGCATCTGTGTGGAGACCCCCTTGGAGCCATGGAGGACGTGATGCTTGGGAGGCCCAGTGGAGGTGGGAAGAGGCCATGCTCTGGGGCCAGCCTCTTTATACTCCCAGCTTCACTGTGCTTCCGCGAGACTAGAGAAGTTACTTTTTTCTTTTTTGCGCTTCCCTGACAATGTAAAGTGGGGATGTCTCCCTGAAAAGGTTGTACTGGAGAAAAATGGCCTGATTTCTGAACACCATAGGATCAGCAAAGCTTTACCTAGCAAGCTGCCTACAAATCTGGGGGAAAGCTGCATCCCAGCTTACAGCTCAGGCTGTCACCCTGAAGTGGTCCAAGTCTTCACAGAGGTGAAACGCAAGCAAGGGCCAAAGGCAGCAGAGGGAGATTGGGAATCTGAGGCATTTTAGTTTTTTCTGTGGCTGCTGTAATCAATCACCACATACTTGATGGCTTAAAACATCTATTCAAAATGAAAGTGTTGTAAATTCAAAAGTCCTGTGGAGGTTCTAGGGGACCATCTTTATTTTCCTTGCTGCTTCAAGCCACTGATGGCTTGAAGGTGGTAGAGTGCTAGCTTGGGCACAGACAGGCTCAGGTTCAG